AATGGAGAGACAAAGATAGACGAAAAGTAAGGAAGGGAGGGAGAGAAGGAGACTGGGAAGAAAGGAGAAGGGGAGGGGAGGGAGAGGGAGAGGAAGACCAGAGAGAAGGCTGCGTCTCCTCCTACCCTACACGCTTCCCCGACTGTGTGAGTGAGGGAGAGGGTGGGTGGGAGGTAGAGGGGGAGGGGAGGGAGAGGGAGAGGCCGATGAGGTAATGGAGAGACAAAGATAGACGAAAAGTAAGGAACGAAAGAAAAGAAGGAGTGGAGAGAGTGGGAATGAGGAAAGAAGAAAGAGATAGAGGGAGGGAGGGCGAGAGGGCGGGGAAAGGAACTCAAGAGGAGTGAGTGTCACGCACTGTTACATTCCCTAGATTAACCAACTATGCTTATCATGTATAACAGCGTGATATCGTGACTAGGGCTCAGAGGGTCTATGCCCCCCAGGGTACTGCCGGAACGTCGTACCCTGGTACTATCTAATATGCCAGACCGTACCTCGCCTACTCCACTAACGAGTCTAGGGAGTCGCCTACGCCTACTCCCTAACCCTAACCCTAACCATATTAGATCGTACCAGGGTACGTTCCGGTATACCGGACCGTACCCAGGGTACGTTCCGGCAGTACCCTGGGGGACATAGACTCTATGAGCATGACTAGGTTATGCCACGAACAGACAGCAGATAGTGAAGCATGCTCACGTGACAGCACATATATAACACTTATTATTTACGTATAATTTTGATCATATATTCATAATAATATTAATTACATATATATATATATATATATATATATATATAATATTATTATATACATGTAGATGTGCTGTATCGTGGAGGTGGTGGTGGGGACGGACTTAATGATATACTGTCTGTAAATGTAATAGTAAACAGTATGTAATGTACATGACGCTGTGTTTCGCAGGGTCCGCCCGCTTCGCAAGATGACGTCTTCTTTGCTGTGAAGACATGTGAGAAGTTTCACACGGAGCGAGGTGAGAAGACGCAGTTGCCATGGTTACCGCACCACGTGACTCGTCGCTGGCCGCATGAGTGCGCTGTCACAGTATTTCGGATAACGGACCAGAACGAATTATTCTGCGGGAAGGGGGGGGGGTAGAGGAACATGATTATACGTTATTTAGTTGTTGTTGTTTTTTTTGTGAAAAATTGAAAAAATGCGGTTGATGCATTTATTTTAAACGATAAGTTGCACTTTTAAGATGCAGACTTATACTGAGAGGTAAGTTGTGGTCGTGGAAAGCTAGGAACAAGAGATATCTGATTAAAGGTTATATCTGTAAGCGGAAATGATGCTACGACCCCAACCACAACCCCAACCAAAACTTTAACCCAGACCCCAACCACAACCCCAACCCAAACTTTAACCCAGACCCTTTCCCTAACCTGAATCCTAACCCTAACCATAAGCCTAACACTAACCCCCACCCCAATCCTAATCTTAACTCTAACCCTAACCCTAACCCTGACCCTAACCCTAACCCTAACCCCAACCTTAACATCTGCAGTTATAGACAGCCAGGCACACGGTGTGTACAGGCGTTTTCTCTTGCAGTGCCCGTAGTACAGCGGACGTGGGGCAAGCATGCCAAGCACATAGAGATCTATAGTGAGAAGGAGGACACGTCCATTCCTACAGTCTACCTCGGAGTCAACAACACGGAGCGAGGTAAACGTGCACTCATTCACTCACCGATCACTCACTCGCCGATCACTCACTCACCGATCACTCACTCGCCGATCTCTCACTCACCGATCACTCACTCGCCGATCACTCACTCGCCAATCACTCACTCGCCGATCACTCGCTCGCCGATCACTCACTCAGCGATCACTCACTCACGGATCACTCGCTCGCCGATCACTCACTCGCCGATCACTCACTCGCCGATCACTCACTCGCCGATCACTCACTCGCCGATCACTCACTCGCCGATCACTCACTCACCGATCACTCACTCACCGATCGCTCACTCACCGATCACTCACGGTGTGCTCACTCACTCACCAATCACTCACTCACCGATCACTCACTCACCGATCACTCACTCACCGATCACTCACGGTGTGCTCACTCACTCACCAATCACTCACTCACCAATCACTCACTCACCGATCACTCACTCACCGATTACTCACGGTGTGCTCACTCACTCACCAATCACTCACTCACCAATCACTCACTCACCGATCACTCACTCACCGATTACTCACGGTGTGCTCACTCACTCACCAATCACTCACTCACCAATCACTCACTCACCGATCACTCACTCACCGATTACTCACGGTGTGCTCACTCACTCACCAATCACTCACTCACCAATCACTCACTCACCGATCACTCACTCACCGATTACTCACGGTGTGCTCACTCACTCACCAATCACTCACTCACCAATCACTCACTCACCGATCACTCACTCGCCGATCAGTCACTCACCGATCACTCACTCACCGATCGCTCACTCACCGATCAC